CTCATTTCAGTAGAAAAATAATGCTGCAATTCAACACAAACAGTCACAGCGGCGGCGGCAATTGGACAAGTAAATAAAAAAAAGGAAAATAAATGGCGTGTACTTGTACTAACCTGCAGTTTTCGAAAGCAGTTGTTAACGTCCTGCAGGTGTCTTTATCGCCAACGCCGCCGTGCAAGTGTGACGGATCTCGCTGAGCGCTGTCGTTTTATCGAGCTTAGAATGACGTGTCCTGGGCTCAAGGTTGTGGGCTGGTGGCAGCTCGGGCGGGTAGATAACGATGTCCGCCAGGCGCCCAAGGCTTGTGGTGACGTGTCCCGACCTCAGGGTTGTTTGCTGGCGGTAGTGCGGGCTGGAAGATGGCGATGTCCTCCTGGCATCAGAGTCAGCAATCCGTGTTGGCCAGAGTCTGCAGTTTTCAAAAGCAGTTGTTAACGTCCTGTTGGTGTCTTTATCGCCACCGCCGCCGTGCAAATGTTGATCTCCCACTTTTAGACCCTTAAGGGTGTAAAAATGGGTACTCTAGAGCTCGCTCGGTCTGTGCGTTCTTCGTTCTTTCTCCTCCGTACTTTTTGCGCTGTTTCCCTCTTCGTAACTCTGCCTAACCAACTCGCCCGATTTTCAACGGTGCTCTAGAGACTTAGACCCGTGGCTACATTCTTACAGGCCCGCGAGTTCGAGTAATGCGAAGCGCAAGTTCATCTGCTTCTAGCACAGGGGTTGCGATAATGTCAGACGCCGAGCTTTAATTAGCTGATTAGAAAAAAAAAGTGGGTAGACCTCGAGGCATCTAGCATTGATGTCTAGCCACTATCCTTTCAATCAAAGCCAATCAGAGCTCGACGTCGTTTTGACGTCACTGCAACTCATGCAAAAGAAGCAGACGACTTTCTTTCCGCATGCATCCTTCCTCAACGCAAAATAGAGTGGCGTTGCGTTGAGCACTCTTCATTTTTGAAGGATGTAAAAAAGGCGTGGGAAAGGGTCTAAGCGACCTCGCACCTGCTTCAGACCGCTTTAGCGGAGTTCTTTTGGTGATCATACCTAATAATGATAGCCTGTACCAATGCTTTTGATTTGGAGATACTTTATGCAAACTTCGATATATTCTGCTTTAAGTGTGTACAAATCCTGGTCATTGTCGAGCTGGAAGCAGCTGTTCAGTTGTGGGCGCGATGCACTTCAAAAACGTGGTTCCCCGTCAAGGCATTGAAAGGCTGCCAAACCGGTGATGCAAGTGCATTCGGCTCTAGGAAGAATCTGTCGGGAAGGGGAACATATATACGGACATCTCAGTGGCCGGTATCCGCAGGAAAGCAATAAATTGTAAATCGAGAGGTCCGGCCTATGTTCTGTGTTCACTCCCTGACTTCAAGTAGCCGGTCACAGTCATTTTTTTTTTTTTTTCGCTTCATCAAACAAACATTGATTGGATGTGTCAAGCTCGTTGCGACTATGCACGCCTCTTTTCTTATTTTTTTTTTATTTACAGGTGACTGTAATTAATGTTTTATTGTGTCGTTATTCGCCCAACTTCCTCGATTGATTGGCAGCCAATAAATATTTGGGCATCCTAGGACAAAGTATGCGTTTGGACATGCTTTATTGCGCAATATTCTTCCTTTTAATGATATCACCTTGAAATCGGCCGCTTAAATCTGCTTTTCATTTAATGCACACATACTATTCCTTCATTTTTTTTTTATATTGAGCTTAACAGAAAGAAGACAGCGTGTGTTGTGGCTTCTAAGGTTACTTCGTTCATTCATTCATTCATCATTTAATGTACATGATTATGAACAGCTTATACGCCTTAGCAATGATGCACCAGAACAAGTTAAGATATCAAACATGGACAACTTAAATGCGAAAACATTTGAGCTAATAACGTAGATATCCGCTGCAATGACGGTAGTGCACAACTGCCGAATTTCGGGTGATGGGACTAATTTAGATGATTTTCTTAACAAACCCAGTTATTCTTCTTTGCGTATATGGGTCATACTGCTCCTTTTTATTTATTCATTTATTTATTCATAAATTAATGAGTACATGAGTAAGAATCAACCATATAAACGCGCACCTGTAAAACTGCATTTGTCAATGAATGAATGAGAGTGAACCACATATGCGCACAGCTCAATAACTGTTTGTTTATGAATAAATGAATAACAGCCAACCCCATATATACGCAAGGCTAAATAACTGTTTTGTGAATGAATTAGTGAATGAATGAATGAATGAATGAATGGGAGAATCAACCACAGAAAGCTGAATAACCCTAATGAATAAATAAACTAATTAATTAATTATTATGGACGAATAAAGTCTTCATTCCATCAAAGTCAGTCCAGACCCAGGCGGATGGGAAAATCAGGCAGCCATCTAGCGCTTTATTCTTTAATGACTCAAAATAAATTAGCGCGAGCACTGCAAAATTATTGCAAAAGTCGCGATACATATGTTCAGCCCTGACGTTGACATATGGCTAAAATACGAGTACCGCTACTTTCAGTCAAGTATTGTAAGTTACAAGTAAACATTACTCAAACGAATATTTCCTTTCACTAAAAAGCATTGCTTGATAGAAATTAATCGAAACTAAATTAATACTACAATTACTTTTAGTCAAAATTACTGAATCAGAAGTAAAGAATCTTCGAAGAGTAATTACATTTGAATTACCAAAGTGCAAGTAAAATTATTCGGCAAGAAACAATTTCTAATGCAATACCGCATAATTAAAAAAATATTTAAAAAATTACAGTTCCAAAAGTACATAAGTCGAATCACTACTGGGGCATGACTCATATGCACGATTGAGCCTGGTAAATCCCGTCGGCTTCTCTGGCGCCGCCCATGGCATAAAAAAAGAAGGCTAATTTAGGTCAAGGCCCCCCGTTTGATAGAGTCAAAGCGGTTCTAACCTAACCAAGGTGCTCCACACAATCGCAGCAAGGAGCTTGGCCTCCATTATGATGATTTTCCTTTCCACCGCTGGCCATTGAAACCGGACGCGTGAGTGTGGCATCATAGTCACGGAAGCTCAGGAATCCCAGGGCGACCGATAACCTAAAACGAGTTACCTCCACCCTTCAAACGAGAGCGAAAGAAGTAAGACAAAAAAAAAAAAGGGGGGGGGGGGGTTCGTTCACCAGTGAGGGGGTATAAAAGCTCGACGCGGATGCACGTCAAGTCAGTTCGGACAACAGCTCCAACGAGACAACAACCATGAACGCTGTAAGTATCTCGGCGGCTTCGGTTGTGTACGACAACAGCACGGTGCAAGCGGCTCTGGCCACGGAGGCTATACGGATGCACGGCTGCTCTGACTAGCCATCGGGGTGGTGTAAAGATTGGCTGGATTGCATCATCCATCACTCGTGTAACCGCCGCGGCAAACGACCCCCTTCTTTAGTGGGGTGGCCGCGCTATGGCTGCCGTCCCAGAATGTAACTTCATCGCGAACAGCCACTCCAGTGGATGACTCTTTCTGAAGAAGCACTTGAGCGTGGCACTGAAAGTGGACTATCACAGGCGACGTCCGTCGGAGTTTGGTACAATTAATGGCAAAAATGTAGCTCCGTGAATCTGTAGCGCCGAAGAGTTTAGATGAGAGCAGTCGTTAACACGTTACTTAAAAAAGTCATCGATTATAATTATAATTACTCTAGGTTAAAAGTATTTATTTCGATTACTAGATTTGTTGAGAGGAAAAAAAAGTGGTTGTTACTTAAAAACAGTAACCTGTTATTTCACGATTTCTTCACACTTTTGAAACGATTAACTTGTCTGCCGATTTCAAAGCATGTTTTTCGCACCGTCCATTATTGGTTTAGAATTAACGAATCACAAGCTACTTCTCTTCTTAATCCACCAATTTTGGCAAACCATGCCTCCCTGTCGGAGACTTAGTTCGAGGATTTCTTGGGAGGAAATCTTGTGCAAACAAATTATGTCATTAGAAAGAGGAGGAAAAAATAGTAGCGGTTACAAGTCATCCTAGCACTTCCAAAAGTACTCAGATTAATCTTGAAATTACTTCCTAATAAACATATTTTAATGATTACGAAATCACTCCAAAAGTAATCGATTACAACTAATTTTATCGCTCGTAATGAGGACCATACGGGTTTGAACGAGGGGCATTGTAACTAAAGAGTCATCCTCTACACATCCCTAATTGATAACGAAGAATCTCAGCAACCCTGTAAGCAACTACGCCTGCCACAATCAATGTCGGTTTGAAACCAACGAGAATGTGGCACAGGCCGATAAAATGAGGAAGAATTGAATACCAAAAACCGAGGGATCTCAACTTAAATAATTGATGCGCTGTTTCTCGGGATGTGAGTGACTGATGCGAGGGTGACAGAGTTGAGATTTCATCACAGCCTGAGCACGGGACAGGGGCCCCTCGGCCCCGTTTGGTATTAGTCGAGACAAATCCCAGTTAAGCACAACGCCACTGGAACAGCGATAAAGAAGAGAGGTACAGATACACAAAAAAGCACTGTCCCGTGTATCTCGCAGCGCTTATCCAGTGTATCTCTCTTCTTTATCCTTGTCCGAGTCGCGCTGCTTTTCGTTGTGAACTCCTACCAACGCGCCCAAACGTTCATTCTCATCAGAAAAATAAAATCCTACAGTTAGCTGGGAAGAAAGACTAGAGCAGCGGTGACATTGCAAGCACATCATACAAAAGGCGATCTGCAGGCACTGCCTCCGGCGTGTTTCTTGCTTGCATAAACACCTTGTCACTCACACAAAAGCTGTCTGCAGGTATGTTGGAAGCGTGCATATGCATTAAAGCGCTCCTAAGAAGTTCGAGGCATGTTTGCATACTGTTCTCTCATCATGCCTGCAGCGAACACCGTGTCTTTTGGATTATATACGAGCAGTGTGGATGCGACTTTAAGGTATACAAGAGGTTCTATTACCGATATGTGACAACGGGGACTGTGCTCATCACGATGTCTGCTCCTCTTGCACTCTTGCAGCTCTCTGCCCTGGTTCTTCTTGCCGTCGCCTACGGCGCTCATGCCGGTGGCGTTGCCCTCGGCGGTTACGGCCTTGGCCTCGGCCACGGCTACGGTGGCTTCGGCTACGGAGGTCTCGGCCACGGAGGATACGGAGGTCACGGAGGCTACGCTGTCGCTGCTCCAGTCGCCGTCGCTGCCCCAGTCGCCAAGGTCGCCGTCTCCGCCCCCGCTCGCTCCTTCACCTATCGTAGCGACAGCTTCGGCCCCGCACACGCCGTCAGCAGGCCAGTTGCCGTCGGACACGGCTACGGCGGTTATGGTGGCGGATATGGTCTCGGAGGCTACGGAGGCTACGGAGGCTACGGACACGGCGCGGCTGTTGTCGCTGCTCCCGCTGTCGCTAAGGTCGCTGTCGCTGCCGCCCCAGTCGTGGCCGCCGGCCACGGAGGCTACGGCGGATATGGCGGATACGGCCTCGGAGGCTTCGGAGGCTACGGACACGGAGGCTACGGAGGCTATGGACACGGCGCCGCTGTTGTCGCTGCTCCCGCTGTCGCCAAGGTCGGCGTCGCCGCTGCCCCAGTCGTTGCCGTCGGTCACGGAGGCTATGGTGGCTACGGACACGGAGGCTACGGAGGCTACGGACATGGTGCCGCAGTTGTCGCTGCTCCCGCTGTCGCCAAGGTCGCCGTCGCTGCCGCCCCAGTCGTTGCCGTCGGCCACGGTGGTTACGGTGGTTACGGACACGGCGGCTACGGTCTCGGTCTTGGTTACGGCCACGGATACGGAAAGTACTAAACTAGACAACAGCCACGTGCAAGCTGGGACCTTCTGGAACTTGCAGGCAAAAGTTCCCCGAAGCGACCTCGAGCTCTCGGTATGGGATGACGGAGCTCGGAGTGTGAACACAACCACGGACGTCATCGTTCCAGCGCTCCACCGCATCCCCCTTCCCCAAATAGGATAATAAATTACTTGTTCTTATTGTTGAAAAGCCTCTCGTACAGTGTTTCTGCTTCACTCGATGAACTGTCGCAGAACATAGTAGGAGCTCCCGACCAACAGCCTGCACAGGAGACAGTTTTGACGCCGAGCTCCGACCAATGAGCTGGTACGATATCTGTCTGTGCTCTCGCCCTAGTCATCCCTTTTCGTGGAAATCAATTATTTTTCATTTCCTCGTTGTGGAGGTACTGCACCAACTGCAGACTTGTGGAGTACCACCTTGACCAGAAATAACTTTAGACGCAATATTTCAACTTTCAAACCACTGTTAGGTACTCTGGAACAGCCGGACGTTTTGCACCAACACAGCGAAAAACTGCCATTTTTGCACAGTTATGAAAGCCATCACAATCGGGCTCTCTTTGCCCAAGTATTGCTCCATCGATATCAGCTGTTTATTTACAAGAATTAGAGTCCCCCGCATCTAGGTTGGCTTGGACTCGATTTAGGGTTAACCCGTTTGTACCGGCGGATCTCAGAAAGGCTGGATCTATTCTGGCTAGTGGCTAGACTAGCCGATGTCGTTTTTTCCCAGTTTCCTCCTCCTCCAGATTATCAGCCATCTAATGACCATCGCTATCAGCCATCTCTGCACCAATCTAACAGTTATCGCAATCGGCTATCTTTACACAGCTATGATGGCTTACCCTCTGCACTATCCTTGCATTACAGAACGTCCAAGGCCATGCATCATCGTTGTGCTTATTGGAAGACACTGAGACACTGACAACCCGCCCGATTTAGAACTTCATCACGGCCATGGCCATCCGCCTTCTTTGCTCTGGCCAAATACCTCCAGGTGTTCACCGTGTCATACTCAAAGGCCTGACCACCCGGCCTGTCTCATTGCCCAACGGTCTTAGCTCTACGCATTTTCCATTCAATCCTAGAGCTAACCTAAAGATTTGCACCACTCGTGTGATCCATTTTGCCTACTTTATTTCCTGTGGCCATATAACAGTCGTCTTCTTTTCTCCGTTCTAGCGAACTTGTGCTTCAAAGTGCGTTTACCAAACAATGTCGTTTGTTCTTGTCCTTCAGATAGTGTCTTCTAATCTATGCAGGAAACCTATTCGTCGTACTTACGAACGAGGGTATCTTCGTAGATGGCAAAATCCAGTATATTCCCCTGGCTATCTCTGGCTCTCCAGCCTGGGATAGCCGCTTTTTCCACTCCCCTCACAAAATAAAAAAAAAAAAAATAAAGAAAAACATTTATTTATGTCACAAATTACTGACACATGCAGGCACTTCCTACGTAACCGAAAGCTAGTCGCTCGATCAGGAGTTGAGATCAATTTTTCGAAATCACCGCATCGGGAGGTATGGGTCGGAAACACTCGTGCACACCAGAAGCATGGTCCCAAGCCTCTGGCTTGAGAGCCTCTCATGGTCGCTCATGAGTCCGAAGAATGCAAGCATGTTTTAACACCAAAAGCTATGGGACCGTGAATTGCACAAACGTCTACACCATTTTCTGCATTATTAGAACAAGAAGAAATACATATGCCGTCGCCATGCCTACAATATTCTTTAGAGTGTGAACCAGTAAAGATACAAAAATAAAGCATCTTCATTTTTTTTTTAATTGCGACATTCGATGCTTATCAAGGTACCGGCTGTATAATTCGCCTGAACTTAATTTGCAGGGAACGTCATTAAATGAAGAAATGCAATACTAGCGCACATCGATGAACTATCGGGGAAAAATGAAATACGACCAGAGGAACGCGTGGCTCGCGGTACAGGCTGCGCCGCCTGCAAGTGAGCCTAGGGGCGAGGGTGTCTGTCCTAAAGCCCCTCTATCCTGAAAACCTTGGCGCCATTCATTGTTGTGGAAATGCTCGCGACACGTGTTGCGCGCCACTTCTGGGAAGAACATGGCGTCTAAAATCTAGCTCAGTGCTGCGCTGTGCCGCCATGATCTTACCAAGAGCTGCACGTTGCACGTGCAACATGTATCGGCGCACCTTGCGCTGCATTTGAAACATGAAGGGGTTTTAGTGTGGCCTACTTCAATGTGTATACGTCCTGCGCTCGGCGCTTCCCACGCTTCGGCATTGCGCCTCTTAGCGCGCTGAAGGCTATCACCGCTATCGTTGCTCGCTCCACGCGTGTCGTGCGTGGAAGCTCGCCGCTAGTGGCAGCGCTGGAGCGCGCCCAGCGCTGGTACTAGCCGCGAGCCTCCTCGCACCGCACGCGCCGAGCGAGCAACGATAGCGTTGATAGCTTTCAGCGCACTAAGAGGCGCAATGCCGAAGCTTGGGAAGCGCCGAGCGAAGGGCGTATAGACGCTTCGCAGCAGCTGTGCATAGACGCCGCCATAACTGACCTTCAGTTTTTGTTTTCTCTTATTCCGTTTATTTCACTTCATTATTACCATGGCAGGCCAGGTTATTGCCACATTATATTCAACTGTGTCCTTTTCTAAAGCATCGGCCTTTGTAGAGGATCGTCAACTACCGTTTCAGTTGCTGGGCATCTCGGTAAGACAAGAGAAGGTCGGCTGTGGCGGCTGTAATTTGGCGCGTGTGTAAAGCGTCTATACGGAATACATTCCACTCTGCTCATTTGCATTAGACAGAACGCCTACAGCGCCGAATCCAGCCCTGACCGATTGGAGGTCCGCGTCAGTCCACGCGCAAGTGCACGTGAATGTTCGCGGCGGCTGCGGCGGTGTCGTCTCCGCTTCCACCTAAAGGCCCTTCATGTTTCAAAAGTAGCGCAAGGTGCGTCGACGCACGAGGCACGTGGAACGTGCGACCCTTGGGAAGATCATGGCGGCACAGCGCAGCAAAGTATTTAGCGCACCACTGAGCTAGAGTTTAGACGCCATGTTATTCTTAGAAGCGGCGCGCGGCACGTGTCTCGCGCATTGCCACAACAATGAATTTCGCATGTAGAACATCAATATCATCGATAGCCGAGACCTCCACGGCGATAGATGGCTCTCGCCAAGCCTAGAAAACCTGTCCGCGCCGAGGCTATTGTATTTAAGAGGAGTGGAATGTATTCCCCCTAGTAAAGTATTTGGTATACACATCAGGGTAGGCCCCACGTACCCTCGCCCCTAGGCTCACTTCCAGGCGGCGCAGCCTGTACCGCGAGCCACTCACTCCTCTGTTCGTATTTCATTTTTCCCCGATAGTACACTCCAGCGAAACATTATAGAAGCACGGACCCGTTTCCTCCGTCTATAGAAGCCGAATAAATCAGCCGTCCTTTATTTCTTCAGCACTCTACCTATACCTGTTGTGGAATAAATACCCCGAGACATGTCATGGCGAGTTCTTGGAGAATCCTATAGGGAGTATTCACTGGACGCCATATTTGTGGGGGCTGTTTAGAGTTTAGAGCGCATGCTCAGAACGAGCTCACATCAATAGGCTGCTAAGACGGGCACTCTTGATGGTGCGGAATGCACGTTGCAAAAGAACTGTGGAGGCTCGCCGTCAGCACGCGCTCAGCATTCGCACACACAGCTATGGCCGCCAGTGAATACTCCCTATAAGGCCGGCCACGGCGACGCTTTTGGTAGCTCACGTCGCCAAAGCGGCGACGGGAACCATGTACACAAGGCGGAAAAACGGACTATTCGTTCTGGCACTCGCGGCCAAGCTCACGAGCGTGCCACGTGACGACCCAACATCGACCGGCGTCGGAAGCGGGACAATGCACAGACACCTCTCCGCCTCTTAAGAACCAGTCTGAAACTGCTTGGAAAGCATTACGCCGAGTCAGACAGTTGTAACGCAGCAGAACGAGATTAAACAGGCAGACAGCACACAAGGGCGACCTAAAGTTCTCGAACAAATTCGATTCGAAAGGAGACGGCCAAAAGCCATTCAGTATACAAGGCCTCGGAGCTCGATTTTCCACGTCACTAACAAGAAGCCAGAACGAACTACGAACTGCACACGAACGTTGCGTCGGACGTTCAGCTTGGACTAGTGTTCTCATTGATCCAACACGAATTCAACAAGGCCTGTAGCGCGTCTTCGACTGGGGCCTTTACCTTCCTATCCCGCTCATGGATCTAACGTGCTCCAGAATTAACAGCGGATGACGTCATGGGGGCAAACATGTCGTGCTGGTCGGATGTACCGACCCTGGTGGTTGGTAGTACAAGCTTCGTCAAAATGGACGAGAGAGCGCGAGTGTCGCTGTTGTTGCGGCAATCGCAGTTGAACAGGCGTCTGTCGCCTCCAGCTGCGCTGCTGAGCCGCCGGTAGGATCGCGGCAGGCAACTGCACGACAATTTTATGACGTCATCATTTAGAACTCGATCATACGTAATTAAACATCGGTTGGAGGCTCGTTCCATGCACCATAAGCGCGTGTCCCGGCCCAACACTAAAGTGGCGCTAGCTTCCACTCTGTGTGCCCAGCTGGCCTCCGAGAGATGACGTAGACAAATCCAGGCCTTCGGCCTTGCTGTCCAAGAGGTACTGCGTCCAGTCGGCCTTGCTTCCCACTTAGCACCCACCGGCCTTTTTAAGAGAAAGGGACAGCACTCACAGCAGGGCGGTGACCATAGACAAAGCGAGAGAGCGAACTTGCGGCGCCGGTCTCGATTAGCCCCGGCCCACCCCGACGAACTGAATCAACCCGTTTCCGCGTTCCGACACTTGCGCACGTGTCGAGGTTGCCGTGTGGGAGCGAGCGCGCCCGAAAGATTTAACACTTTGAAGCCTCTTGCAGTGACACCGGCTTCGGTAGCACACTGTGACTCCGCCTAGTTTATCATTAGCCTTAAACAACGAAAGCCATTGTACACATTTCTAGCGCTTATCGCCCGGGCAAAAGATAGGGAGTCGCTGAGTTGCGAGCGCTTGCGCAACGCTTGATATTCTGGAGCAGACATGTACAAGTTACTCAAAAAAGTAATTAAGTTAAGTTACTGAGTATTGACGTCAAAAGTAATTTGAGTAGAGTAGAAATTACTCGAATGGAA